TCTAAAAAATGCTGGGTTGTTTTAACCCAACTTTGGGTCAAATATGGACTAACCCAGCCGTTGGGTTAAATTTTTACATTACATTTTTAACCCAACATTTCGGGTTTGTCCATATTTGACCCAAAATTGGGTTAAAACAACCCAGCATTTTTTAGAGTGTAAGGAATTACTCTTAATTTTTCTGCAATTAAATTACAAATCTGAGGTAATTGTACTACAAAAATACTATATAAAACAATAGTGGAATTAACATTTTTTTTTGTTTGTTTTTAATATAACCTCCTTTTACACATGTTGGTCAGTTCAAGAATAACTTGTGCAATTATATCTTGTTTATTTGAAAGAACAAAAAGAGCAGTTTCATGTCTATCCTTGTATTGTAAATAACTTGAAAGTAATTAAATAATCCAATTATAGAGTAATTAGTAATCTAATTACATGGTTGAAGATGTAATTCGCAGCTAGTAATTGATCACTTTTTTTTACCCAACACTGACTGTATACTATATTAAGCATTTATATTAATATGTAAAGTTTTCATTTCTTAATATATATATATATATATATATATATATATAATTAAACTAGTTTAGCCCTCTGGCTATCTAGATTTGGTGTGTCAGGACTGGATTAGCTGATTTCGCAGGTTTGGATCTCGAGGGACTTGGCACAAACTCCTCTGGGAGTAAAAGTCTCTCTTAATTCATCTTAAATCCCGCTGACAACTAAACTTGGCACAAACGAGAAAAGCCGACACTTCTAGAGTCTCGCTGCGGAGATGAAGTTGAACCAGGGGTGAAGCACACGCAGTCAGCGCTCGAATCAATGAGAAGAAACTAGAAATCTGAAGCTGAAAGTCTGTTGTTTGCTCGTCTATTTGATTAGAAATGAGTTTCTCGCGGTAAATAGACCCTGAATGAATTGCAAAGGGGAAAAGCACTTTGACAAATATAAAATGAATTTGCGAGGTTATTACTTCACATGGCAACAAATCTTTCCATTTACAAATTATAATTTCAGTAATGTGACTGGAGACTAATGATGCTAATTTATGGACTACATTAAGTTATTTAACAGACTAAGGGGACAAAAGGCCTCAAACATTGATTTGCGCTCCTTATGTGTTTGGAAACAAAGCCTTGTCCAGACCAGCTAAAGAGCAGCCGCACTTACGGAAACAACACATATACCTGTAATTCTCCAAACTAGTCCATTAGGATGAAATAAAAGATGATTTTATGTAAAAAAATAAATTAAAAAAACACAGTTCATTAGCAATTTACAGCTAATGGCTCTTGTGCTAATGGGCCCCGTAATATTAGACACACACATTCCTCAAGAGCGATTGAAAACAAACATTCGTGACGCTCAAATGTACATTTTCTACAAGGCCGTGATGAACGTTAAATGTGATTTCCACCATCTCTCCCTCAGGACGGACTGGGAAACGCATACAGACACACGCATTAATTATTTAGAGCCACCAGACCCAGTCTAAGCCAGATAAATGTGTGTTTTAACTTTCCCTGCGCTCTCCAAGCCATTTAGCAAGAGTAAAGAGCACCATCATCGAAGTTATCATCTACTTTATCTCTCCAATGTGTTATCCGTCCGTCTCTAAACACCTCTCTATTGAAGTAGAAAGATGCCCTGATGTTCTGCCGGATGAAGATGCTGATCTTTCAGGTTCGTTTATACATCAGGACGTGACCTCCTCATCTCTTAAAACAAAAACGATTATACAATGACTTGTTCTTTTTCACTCCCAAAAACGGTCAATTTTACTGTAAAATAACATTAAATATACAGTTAGATCCATCACAGTTATTTATATAGTACAGAATATTTCTGTTAACCAGTTAACATTTTTTCACCGTACCATTTTTACAGTCTTTTGCCATTATTTTGCCATTATTTCAGTGTACGGATCAAAATATTCAAACTGTTCTCTCTAGGTCCACATTATCTGACATGTTATCTGAGCTCTGGCAGCGGCTCTCATATAAAGCCCCATAAAGAGACTTTATCCCCACAACTGGCCCTTATAAACTTTAAGACCTCTATCTTAAATTGTTATTCAGCACACTTAAAAGAAACCCAAGCATGTGTCGAGAAGGAAACCCTTTGATGCAGTGATTTTTAATTATTTATTTCTATTAAGCAGTCTCCAGTCTCCCTGTATCGCAAAACTACAAAGGCAAATGTCTGGCGTTACTTCAGAAGTAAAACTAAGTGCTTTACATTTTAGATAAGCTGTGTAATTTATAAACAACCTAATCAATACTGTCTATAACTGATGTCAGGAGCCTAGTAGAAACATGCACACACAACATCATCTAAACATATTCAGGTCAAATGATTGTGAAATAATGATTATGTTAAAACAACCAACACCATCAGATCACCGTTTCTATTTGTTGTTCATATGGCTGTTATAACTCATACAGGAGCCAAACAAAACTTAAAAGTTAATGACTTAAGGTCAAGAGCCCAACTAAAACAAACACTGATCACCATAATGGTGACACAATATTACGTTTTTCTCCTTCGGTGATTCTGCTAATTAACATCAGGACCAGTCGGTGTGTGTGTTGTTTCTCCTCGGACCACCCATTGCTGACCGGGAGTGACAAACAAGCCTTGCTTTTTAGAGATACTCAGACCCAGTTGCCTTGCCAATACAATTTGGCCCTTGTCAAAGTCCCTAAGATCTTTATTCCTGCCCATTTCTTCAATCAACACATAGACTGCGTCCGAAAACGTATAGCTCACTTGTTGCCTTGCTGCCTTATAGCCAATGACTTTGCAGCGTTTGTGCACCTCACGAAACAGGCAACATAATGGTTTTATGATCTGAATCAGCTTTGGTGATAAGTGAAGATTTAATTACTATGATAGTAATTTCTTGCTAGAAATGACAAATCACTGGTCAGAAATGTATACATTTACACACAAACTGACCAGCAACTGCAACTTTCAGACACCACACTCTTAGAAGAAATGGTTCTATTTAGAACCAGAAATGGTTCCATCCCCCGCTTCATATATGGAACTCCAAAATGGTTCTATATAGAACCATTTTTTTTTTGGTAAAAGGTTCTATTGGCCAAGTATGGAACCCCGGGGTTCTATATAGAACCCAGAGGAACCCTTTTTTAAGAGCGTATAGAACCTTTCAGGGGTTCCAAATACGTAGCGCTGATAGAACCAGAACCTTTTCTTCTAAGAGTGCATTGTTATTTTTTTTAGCTCAACTGTCACAGAGTGGGAAGCACAGGATTGTGGGATATCAAACAGAGTGAAGGATTCATCTATGATCGATCAGATTAACACAGTCTCATCCCAAAAAGTCATATAACTGACGTTTTGGGACGTATTTTGACCATACGTCAATATCCGCCTTTTTAGGGCCCCCTTAAACGTCGCTAGATGGCGATCCCGGGCCGTCATACAACTGACGCTTTACCTTTAACGTCAGTTAGGTGACGGGTTAGGTTTAGGTATGGGGTAGAGTTAGGATCCCATAACCTCATCTACCGATGTTTAAGGGGGCCCTAAAAAGGCGAATATTGACGTATGGTCAAAAGACGTCCCAAAACGTCAGTTATATGACGTCTTGGGATGAGACCGGGTTGATCAGATGAAGCTCAGACAGGAGGAAAAGCAAACATTGGATTCGGACGTGCCTTGATGATTTTCTACCTTGGAATGAGTCTTCCGAAGGCACTGTTTGGAGAAAATCAAGTTTTTAATGTTGTTTATATGTGGTGTTTTTAATATGCTTTAAGACAAACCATGTGTAAGTTCATAAGTCGACAGTATTTTCTGCTTAAAGCTGCAGTGAACCAAAGACAGTCTCAAAAACATTTTGTTTGAATTTGTTTGTTTGGTTTGAAATTGCTGGTGTTTCTGACGTCACAAACGACCTTGTAACCAATCAGATCAACGTGTAATCGTCAACCAGTGGATCTCTGAGTGAGAGAGTGAGTGGAGGCGGGGCTCATTTGCATATCCATAGAAACGCGTATACTAAATAAAGCTATTTTAAGGCATAAATACTGTTTTTTCCAAGGAAAAACATTCACATATGCCATTTTGGTGATCGGAGATGGGTTTAAGGGATAAAATGACTGACTAGGGGGACTTTTTGTTTTCAGACGCAGCCTTAGATTACGTGAACCAATTGTTTGCTTGCCATCTAATATGCAGACAATAATATTTGTGCTCATCAGAAAACAGTATATGTAAAATGTGTTTAGATATTATAATGGGTCAAGTTTTCAGTTTTTAATTATGCTGTAATACACTGAAAAAAATGATATGCTTTATCTAA